TGTGTGGGGGTGCAGAAAGAGACTGGATTAAAATCGTACACCTATGGATGAGGACAATGGCGGGGGGTGAGGGGGAAGGTAAGGGCAGAGTTGGGGGCGGAAACCAGGTGGAAGGGAGCTATGAGAGGAAAAGGAGAAACAATTGTAATAATCTGAGCAATAAAGATTTATTTAAAAGAAAAAAAAGGCCATATATGACAGACCTACAGCCAACATCATACTCAATGGGCAAAAACTAAAACAGGAATAAGACAGGAATGTCCACTTTCATCATTCTTATTCAACATAATACTGGGAGTTCAAGACCAGTGATCAGACAAGAAGAAGAAATAAAAGGCATCCAAATTGGAAAGGAGAAAGTAAAACTCTCATTATTCGCAGATGACACGATAGTACATATAGAAAACCCTAAAGACTCCACCAAAAAACAACTAGATTTAAAAAATGAATTTGGCAATGTAGCAGGATACAAAATGAACACCCCAAAATCAATGGCTTTTTTATACACCAATAATGAATTCTCAGAAAGAGAAACTAAACAAGCAATTCCATTTATCATTCAAAAAAAAATTTTTTTTAAATACTTAGCAATAAATTTAACCAAGGAGGCAAAAGACTTGTATTGGGAAAACTACAGGATGTTGTAAAAAAAGGTAGAAGATATAAACAAGTGAAAGATTATACCATGTTTATGGATTGGCAGAATGAACATCATTAAAATGTCTATACCAACCAAGGCAATCTACAGAATCAATGCAATCCCTATTAAAATACCAACAGCATATTTCACAGATCTAGAACAAATACTCCAAACATTTATAAGGAACCTAAAAAGACCTCCAATAGCCACAGCAATCTTGAGAAAGAACAAAGTTGGAGGAATCACAATACCAGGTATCAAGCCACAGTAATTAAAACAACCTGGTACTGGCACAAGAACAGAACAGAGACCCCAGAAATCAACTCCAGCTATTATGCTCAATTAATATTTGACAAAGGAGGCAAAAGCATATAATGGAGTCAAGGCAGTCTCTTTAATAAATGGTGTTGGGAAAATTGGACAGATATATGCAAAAAATGAAATTGGACAACTAACTTACACCATATACAAGAATAAACTCACAATGGATAAAAGACTTAAATGTAAGCTGTGAAACCATAAAAATCCTAGAAGAAACCATAGGCAGCAAAATCTCACACATCTCTGGTAGCAAGATGTTTACAGATATATCTCCTAGGGCAAAGAAAACTGAGGAGAAAATAAACAAAATAAAAATATTCTGCACAGCAAAAGAAACCATCAACAAAACAAAAAGGAGTCCATTATATGGGAACATATTTGGCAAGGATGCATCTAATAAAGGGTTAATATCCTAAATATATAAAGAATTCATACAATTTAACAGAAGGAAAACAAACAATCCAATTAAAAAATGGGCAAAGGACCTAAATAGACATTTCTCCAAAGAAGACATACATAGATGGTGAAAAGACATGTGAAAAAATGCTCAAAGTCATGGATCATCAGAGAGATGCAAATTAAAACGACAATGAGGTATCACATCTCACACCTGTGAGAATGGCAAATTAAATGACAAGTGCTGTCGAGGATTCGGAGAAAAGGGAACCCTTGTACACTGCTGGTGGGAATGCAGACTGGTGTAGCCACTGTAGAAAACAGTATGGACTTTCCTCAAAAATTCAATATGGAAATGTCATTTGACCCAATGATCCAACTTCTAAGAATCTATCCTAAGAAACCCAAAATACCAATCAGAAAGAATGTATGCACCTCTATGTTCATAGCAGCACAATTTACAATAGCTAAGATCTAGAAAAAACTCAAGTGCCCATCAGTAGATGAGTGAATAAAAAAAGCTGTGGTACATTTATACCATGGAATACTATGCAGCAGTAAAAAAAGAAGAATCTCTTGCTCTTAGAGACAGCATGGAGGGACTTGGAGAGTATCATGCTAAGTGAAATAAGTCAGTCAGAGACAGACAAGTATCACATGATCTCACTCATATGTGAAACCTAAGTAACAAAATAAACTGATGAACAGAATGGATCCAGAAACATGGAAGCATGGAACAGAGTGCGGAATCTCTGAGGGAAGAGGTGGGGGAGGGTGGGTGGATAGAAGGTAATCAATCAAAGACCTTGTATGAATATATGCATGTCCCAACTACTCAGACAATGGGGCAGTGAGAGCCTGGGATGGGGAGTGGGGGCGGGCTGGAGGGGGCTAATGGCAGGGGGTGGGGGGGGGTGGAGTGGGGAGGGGATATATAATATGTAATACTTTCAACAATAAAGATTTAAAAAGTAATACATAAACTTGCTATTTACCACATGATTAGATCCCAGACACCATAAAGTTACACATTTACTTGTGGATTTCTCTCTCGTAAACAAGATAACCTCAGAAGTTATGGTTTTATTGCCCTGTATGCCAGAAAAATAAATACACACATAAATAAATAAATAGATAGATAGATAGATGATAGATAGATAGATAGATAAATGTATGTGTGTATGTAGGTGTACCCGAGGGCCATGTTTTAAGGCTTCTAATCCCACTACGCTCTCTCTTAGGGATCATCCTAGCCAACAGCTTTAATTACCAGCCATATGGAATGACTCCACATGCCTAGCTTAGTCCCTCCCTCGCTGACCTGCTTTCACTCCTTTGAAGCCAGGTATTTACTAAACAGAATCTCCACTTGCATAACCCAAAGGAATCTCAAACCAATGTGTCTCAGAGAATATTCAACACCTTTCCCTCCCCTCCCCCCCCCCCCCCAACTCAACCACTGTGCTGCTCTTCTGTTCCCTCCCACAGAGAAGGGGACATCAGTATTCACCCAGGTGCCCACACACCAGGAACAGGAGGTTCCTTATCCTTGATTCCCACTTTTCCTTTTACCCCACATCCAGTAAGTCATCAAATGCTCTTATTCCTCTGCCTCATTTCTTCAATCTCACCCCCACTATGGTAAACTAAACCATCACTGGTTGTTCATGATTGGATTACTAAAAACTTCTCAACTTCCCTCCTTGCCCCTAATCTAACCCCCATTTCAGAGGTTTCCAACTGTCCTTCGATAAAGGATCAACTCACTAAGGGGATGAAAAAACTTTTGATTACTTCTCCAGTCCAATTTGGTTAATAAGGAAAGAGTATTTCTTATACCCACGCTTCTTGTAATCAAATTCTGAGTTATGCTCTCACTAGTTGATGGCCTTGAACAAGTCACTTCACCTCTTTGATACCTCCAATTTCTCTTCAGGAAAAAAAGGATAGTAATACCTACCTCTTAAGATTGTTGTTAAAATTAACTTGCTACACGTCAGGATCTTAGAATAGTCCCAGCTCACAATAAGCATACATTTAAATGTCAACTACTGTTCTTCTTTCCCTCCCTCCAGTTCTATACTTCCATCAAACAACTTTATTTTCTTCCTTCAGGCTTCCACATTTGCTGTTCCCTGTTCAGAATACTCTGATAACAGGCCAACTAAACCCAAGTCTTGTTTTGGACAGTACTGCCTCTCACAGCCTCTCCTCTTCCTCACAACATGGTTTAAGAGCAAAGACTCTGAAGACAGATGGCCTGCGTTCAAATCAGCACACAGGCACTTGCAATCTCCCTAACTGGACAGATTATTTACTTATTTTCTCTCCATGACTCTTCTGCAAAATGGGGAAGATAACAGCACCCACCTCATAGAGTCACTGTGAGGATGAATTTGTGTTTAATTTCCTGAAGGTCCCAGAACATGGTCTTAGAATAGTGCCAGGCCAATAATAAGCACTCAATCAATTCTAGCTAGTATTATTATTATTATTGCTAAGCTTGTTATACAGATCTCATTCTTCCTGTCCCCAGTGCTTTAAAAATTTTATGGACAGGACAGGACAGGACAGGACAGGACAGGACAGGACAGGACAGGACAGGAAAGGAAAGGAAAGGAAAGGAGAGAGAGAGAGTTTGTTGTTCCACTTATTTATGCATTCATTGCTTCTTGCATGTGCCCTGATAGGGGCATATGGGGACGATGCTTTATCCCACTGAGCTAGCCGCCATAACCTGTCTCTAGTCTTGGCCTGAACTGCTTTCCCACTCCAATCCTACCCTCCTACACTCTAGAGGAAATACTCTCTGAAACTTGAATAATATCCCCCCAGTCCTGCTCACCATCACCCCAAACTTACACACGGGTATAATGGGACATCAGCAGACGACTCCCACATCCATTAGACCATGCCCCCTCCCCGCCCCCCCAACTCCGTCAGTCGCCGGGGCCCTGCCAGGCTTGAGGGACCCCAAATCAGTTTCACACAGAGCTCCCACCCCCATTTAACCCCCGGTTCTCCGACGGCTCCTCTATTCTCTCCACCTTCCTTCCATCAGAACCTGGTCCCCTCTGGCTCCATTAGACCCCGACCCTGGGCCCGCCCGCCCGCGCCCGCCCGCCAGGCCGAGCCGCTGACCGGTCCTGCAGCTGGAGGTCGGGTCGCTCCCGAGGCTCCACATAGAAGCTGATGCCCGGATGCGTGGCGAGGGCCCTCCACAGAAACTCCTGCGTGTAGGGCTCCAGGGGCAGCGGGAAGGGCGGCACGCGCGTCTCCAGGCGGCTCCACAGCGCGGGCAGGCACAGGCCATCGAGCCCCTCCAGGGCCACCTCGTCCAACAAGGACTCCAGCGCGTCCATTGCTACTTCAGTTAGCAGCACCCGGGGCGCCTGCGCACTGCGCCGCCGAGGAGCCCGGCCCAGCGCGCCTGCGCACCACCGCGCGCGACTCCGGAGGCGGGCCGGACCCCGCGGTCGGAGGAGGAGTTTCGGAGCGCCTACGTAACGTCATCCCTCTTGGGGGCGGGCCCAGCCAGTGACGCTCCGCCGCCATTGGTCCGCACGCCCGCAGTAACCAGGGGAACTGCAAACAGTGCTGAGGCCGCTTCCGGTTTGAGTACCCGGAACCACCGCCTTTAGGGATGGACGGTGAGTGTTCGTTGGCTCCTCCGGGAGGTCGAGGAGTTGTTCTCCCATCTCTCCTAAGGCTTCCCTTCCCCCAGCGCCCTCCCTCTCCCCGGGGGCGGAATGCCAAGCTACAGACCCCTGGACATCCTGCCTGACCCAAGGTGGTCTGGTCTCGGGTCTGAGGGAGGAGAGGCTGGGGGAGTGGTCAGTGTCTGCCTCTGTGGAGCCGTGGTGGTGTAGGAGCCCGGTTCTGGCCGGGGCTCAGCGAAGGGGTCTGGGCAGGGAAAGAAGTAAGCGTCTGAGAAGGCTCTTGTGTGCCCTAGGACGTGGACCTGTGGGATATGGGAGTCGGTGCGGCGGTAAGCCTCCTCCTGGGGCGTGCAGTCAACCTACTGGAAAACGGGACTTGGTCCGGGAGGGGTGGGCGGAGACAGGGAATACCCTCTCCTGTGCCTCGATGGTAATAATTAGTTCTGTGCAGTGCCAGGAACTCCGTTAGTGCTGTCAAGCAGCACCTCGCCAAGCTTCCTAATAGCCCTTTGAGTTGAGTGTTGCTATCCCACTTTGCAAATGAGGTGACCGAAGCTCAGAGAAGTTAAATAGCTTGCCCCCGTCCAGCCAGCCAGCAAGTGGCAGAGTGAGAAAGGAACCCAGACACTGCCTCTGGAGCTGAATTGTGGAGTTTGAGGTTTGGGTGGAGCTTTATAGAGGCCCTCCATTCCAGATGCTGCAAATGCAGGGGTCTGCAAGGGACAGCCCGGGCTGCGACTGAAAATCAGAACTTCTGAAAAGGAGGCTTCTCACTCAGCTCCTGCCAATGGCTTTCTTGGGGCACCTCTCACAACACCATGAGGGCCAACCCATCTGAAAGCCAGATGCAAGCTGTGGGCCGCCGTTTAGGGGTCCCGGATTAGAATCTTGGAACTGACCATTGGAAGCAGTCTAAAAAATAGGCCATGCGGGTATCTCATTTTGCAGATGGGAAGGCTAATGTCTGGGGAGGCTGGTAGGGTCTGTGCTGGAATCCAGATAGTTTTTTTCTCATTTTACCACTGCCCCTCACTTCTGGTGAATTGGTTCCTTTGTGATACCTACTTAGTGCAGTGTGGAAAACATTTAATTTACAGTCTGTTATGTGCTTCAAACATCGTTGCCCTTTGTACTTCAGAGGTAGTATAAAATGTCATTTGCCAACTTGCCCTGTGGAAAGGTCAGAGTAATATAGCTATAGAACAATCATCAAATCTTTTTGGTCTCAGGCTGCTTTTAAACTGTTACCTCAAAAGAGCTATGATTATGTATATCTATGCTATTTAAGAAATCAGAAATTAAAGTTGAGGAAATCTTAAAACAATTAATTTAAAAATAACCCATTACTTCTGAATATAATAATACCTTTAGTTAAAACAGCTATGTTCCCCCTCCCCCAAATTAGTAGGAATATTGGAATTATTTTACATTTCCCCAAATTTCCCCAGTATCTGATTTAACAGGAAATAGCTAGACTCTTGCCATGGCCGGTGTGGCTCCATTGATTGAGCATGTTCTGTGCACAGAGGGGTCTCCAATTCGATTCCCCTTCAAGGAACATGCCTGGGTTTTGGGCTTGATCCCCAATTGGGGTTCATGTGGGAGGCAGCTGATTCATGTTTCTCTCACATCAATGTTTCTCTCTTGCTCTCCCTTCTCTCTAAAATCAATAAAAACATTTTTTTTTTAAAAAAAAGAAGAAAAGAAAATAGCCGAAACCGGTTTGGCTCAGTGGATAGAGCGTTGGCCTGGGGACTGAAAGGTCCCAGGTTCGATTCCGGTGAAGGGCATGTACCTTGGTTGCGGGCACATCCCCAGTAGGGGGTGTGCAAGAGGCAGCTGATCGATGTCTCTCATCAATGTTTCTAATTCTCTATCCCTCTCTCTTCCTCCCTGTAAAAAATCAATAAAATATAAAAAAATAAATAAATAAAACAAACAAGCAAGCAAACAAATAAACAAACAAAAAACACCCCACAGCAGTGCCAGCATGATGACAGATGGCTGCTGACATAGGCCTCTGTGTCAGGGACATAGGAAGCAGTGGGGGGTGTAGACTCCATGCTGCCAGCCAATCAGATTGTTCCCCAGAAGCCAGATATCTCCATGTTTAGTTGAAAAAAAAAAAAAAAAGAAAAGAAAGAAAAGAAAAGAAAATAGTTAGACTCTCATTTTTGGCTTCAGCAGCCAGACTGTTGTGCTGTTATTTTAGCTGATGTACTAGTATATGAAAAACTCAGGTGTCATACAGGTATACAGTGGTAACGGAATATTTTAATTGCCTTTTCTGGTGAACTGTTTTGTGCTCTGTTACATTAAAATCCACTTGTCCATCTTGCTTTTCCATTGGATATTTTACCCATGTATGATTTTATATCTTAGGCATTGGTCATTTGGAAAATGTTACTTCAATGATTTATGCAATTCTTCCAAATGTTGTCGTTGGAAATCTCATTACACAATATAAAATGGCATATCCTATCTAATAAAAACCTAATATGCAAATCATCTGAACAGCAGAATGACCAGTGGAACCATTCGTGGCAATGATGCACACTGACCACCAGGGGGAAGACAATGCAGGAGCTGCCCCTTGGTGGTCAGTGGGGGAGCTCAGCTCAGCCAGAAGCTGGGCTCATGGCTGGCAGCTGGCAGCCGGTAAGCTCAGGAGGCCTTGGTGGGAGCCTCTACCACCTTCGAAGCAGCTCTAAGGAGCAGTGAGCTGAGAGGTAAGGAGCAGGGGTCCTGGACTGAGAGAAGGTGCAGGCTAGGCTGAGGGACCCCCCCATTCCCATCCCCCAGTGCATGAGTTTCGTGCACTTGGCCTCTAGTTATTATGTAATATCAAAAAAAAAAAGCACATTCATTCAGTGGGGGCGGGGCGGGGGGGGAGGTGGCCCTGGAGTGGGAGCTGTGGCAGTCAGGGACCTGGCATGGTGGCTGCGGTGGCTGCGGGACTGACGAGAAACTACTAAACTTCCTGTGGAAGCGAAATAGAATTTCATAAGAACAAAATGGATGGAGAAGAGAAAACCTATGGTGGCTATGATGATGCCATGTATGTCAAATTGATATCTTCAGATGGTCATGAATTTATTGTAAAAAGAGAACATGCATTAACATCAGGAACAATAAAAGCCATGTTGAGTGGCCCAGGTCAGTTTGCTGAGAAAACGAATGAAGTCGATTTTAGAGAGATCCCCTCACATGTGCTATCAAAAGTGTGCATGTATTTTACTTACAAGATTCGCTACACGAACAGCTCCACGAGATTCCTGAATTCCCAATTGCACCTGAAACTGCACTGGAACTGCTGATGGCTGCAAACTTCCTAGATTGTTAAATAAAGTAAATTATAATAAACTGTTAACTTTTTTCAGTATTTAATACCTGTAGTTCCATTAGTAATTTTTTCACATATAGCATGTTGCCTGTGTGCGATTGAACTTTAAAGTTCATTGCAAAGCAGACTATCGTCTCTTCTTCTGCATAGCACAGTTGAAATTTGTTTGCTACATCAACAGATTAAGGACATTTTTACAAATTGAGAAGTAAACAAATAGGCCAGTTGCTAGTTCGTTTTGCCTTACCCTTTGGGTGTGATTTTTAAAATTAGAGTGGTGGCAATATAGTAAATGTTGAACTTTAGTCATAAGTGAACATATTCTACAGGAAAATATTGGGCTATGTATTTTTATGTTTTTAAGTTGTTGTTTTTTTAACCTATTCTGATCTTATAGCCATCATTACCATTATTAGAATTATGCAAATAATTGCATTATAAACATGTTTATAACTTAGCCAAATGTTGATTTTTATAACTGTCAAAGACATGAGTTGAAATTTCTTATGTGTTTTTGATAAACTGCAGTATTGTTTAAGTGTATCTTGTCTTTTTGTTCATTGCTACAATTTAAGAACTTTATTTAAAAGCAATTTGGAAGATTACTTGGTACGGCTGTTGGAACAGTGACCTTTTGCACTGTAGCCACATGGTCAATAAGTAAAATACATGACCTTGATTTCATGTATACTGTGCATTTTGGCCAATCCAAAGTACTGTATTTTCATTGACTATAAAGCTTCCTTTGCAATATTAAAAAAAAAAAAAAAGCACATTCATTAATATCACCACCTATCTTATTTTTGTAAAAAGAGTTTAACTGTTGGGATGCTATTAAACTCCAGCTATTAAACAAACAAGCTTTCTATTTGTTTACACTTGGAAGCTTGAATTTTATCATTAGCAACAGATATTGTCAGTTGTTTCCCTGAAATGAAAGGTTTATTTTTGTATTTGAAAAAGTGTTTGCTAAACCACCCAAATCTGAATAGAGCTTGTCCTCCCCCCCCCCCCTTTAATTCTTTATTGTTTAAATTAGTACATAAGACTCCTTTTCCCCCTGTTGATCTCTCCCCGTCTCCTCTCCCCCCCTCACTCCCCCCCACCTCCCCCAGCACATGCCCTCACCCCATTAGTGTCTGGGTCCATTGGTTATGCTTATATGCATGCATCCAAATCCTTTGTTGATTTCTTACACCTGCCCCCCCCCCCCCAATTCCCCCTGTCCTCTCTCTGAGGTTTGGTGGTCTTTTGGATGCTTCTCTATCTCTGGATCTATTTTTGTTCATTATATTCCACAAATGAGTGAAATCATGTGATATTTATCTTTCTCCCACTGGCTTATTTCACTTAGCATAATGCTCTCCAGGTCCATCCATGCTGTTGTGAATGGTAAGAGTTCTTTCTTTTTTACAGCAGCATAATATTCCATTGTGTAGATGTACCACAGTTTTTTAATCCATCCATCTGCTGATGGGCACTTAGGCTGTTTCCAAATCTTAGCTATGGTGAATTGTGCTGCTATGAACATAGGGGTACATATATCCTCTCTGATTGGTGTTTCTGTTTTCTAGGGATATTGTCCTAGAAGTGGGATTACTGGGTCAAATGGAAGTTCCATTTTTAATTTTTTGAGGAAACCCATATT